ATAGGCCTATACAAATATTTTGTGATAGTCATGCAGCTACCAGTATTGCCAAAAATCCTGCGCATCGTGACATGACATAATGAAATTTATTGAAACTTTATCTTTGAAAATGTTAATTGTGGAATCATACAATTAAGTTATATCTTGACACACCAAGTTGTTAATGTCTTCACCAAGGCTCTTCTTTTAAGCAACTTCTTAGAGTTAATGCCAAGCTTGGTCTCTACAACAACTATGACTTAGTTTGAAGGGGAGTGTAGAAATCTAAAAGTGCGGTCTCCTTTCCATGGTGGGTCCAAGCCGACCATCCTAAGAGTGATGCATGGATTAACTATAGATAATATAGGAAACTCCTTGATTAGTTTTTATTCTCTTCCTATTTATATTTATTTTAGAATTATTTTCTTTCCATGTTTAGGCTAGATATATTTGGTAAGACAACACATTAGGAGAAACCGGTTTCCCTACATATGTAACCTTATGGGAAAAGATGGGTAATAAGAATGTTGTTCATACACTCCCATGTTTTTCTTCAATTTTAGTAAATGGGATGGAAGATCTTGAATTTGAATGGAAAATAAATATGGTATAAATTTGTTGGATATTTAGGTAGAGGAAAGGAGCAAAGAGAAGGAAGAGACCAATTGGTGGACTTAAATGTGATTCTTTGTGTGGGGAGCATGCAAAAGGTGAGTGTCATATGGTTACATAAAGAATGAGGAAAGGGGGCTTATAACCATAGAGAAACGAAGAAACTTATTTCTCACCCATAAGTCTCACCAAAATGGGAAAATAAATAAATTGGAAATAATGGATGAGGTCATGAGAATGATGATCTGGACATCACAGATTGATGACAAACATAATAGAAAAAGGAAGAAGACTTATTTTGTAAGGAGATAATGCCATGATTAGAAAACAATTTAATATTCTTTAATGACTACTACTTGAATTTAAGAACCTGGTTCTCAGACTAATAATGAGTGAGACAAGAAAAAAAGAAGATGGTGATGGTATTTGAACCATAACTTATTGAAGAGAATAATCCAATGTGATGAAAAACCAAAAAAGGTAAAGAAGAGGTTGAGATGATCAGAATAATTAATGCATCAAGGGGAGAGCAACAAAGATAATAGAGAGAAGGCCAACAATTAGCATAGAGGGAAGAATTGATCTCCAGCTAAATGAAAGTCAACTCTTAATGCCACCTTCAAACATATGCAATTATAACACAAGGAATTTAATTTAAACTAAATAATTATTTTTAGGGACAATAAAATACTAATAATAATGACAAAAAGACAAGCATAACAACAATCCCAAACAACTAATCTGCCACTAATAGATAACATCCATACAATTAAACAAGTTAATAAAGTGAAGGTGTCTCCACTCTTATATCCTCACCCTTATATTAAGGACTTTGTCTAGTTGTTCAGCCACATTCACTTGAATCCAAATATTATTGCATGATAAGCTATTTATTTACAATGCATGAGTAGTGCAATGACTTTTCTTTCATTCACTGACTCAAATATAGCAACTCTTGTTTGAAAAAAAGCAGAAACGAAAAAGCTAAGTGTTAGTTAAATGCGGCAACCAAACCCCTAGCTATACCACTAAGAGCAACAAGATTTTCAAACTTCATAAAAGGCAGCTTCCCAAAGAAAAATGACTATCTCTACCCCCTACAAAAGGCAAAGCAAAAGAAGCTATCCCACAACTACTTATGTGATGGGCATAGACTGCCAAGAGCAAAAAACCGTCAAGAGCAAAAAATCATCACCATAAGAAATGATCATGAAAGACACTTTCACAATAGCAAGAAAATTCTTTTTCCCAGGTGTAGATTTAATCTCAAACAAATAAAACAAATGGCGCCCATAAATTGAATGAGGGCATAATGATCGCTTGGTTCACATGTTTCACTGCTAGCTATTTCATTGTCGTAAATGAATCTTAGGCTTCAGAGTTCAGATGGCACATCGTGTTTAAATTGCTTGTTTGAATTTTGTTACTCTACTATGTTAAGTGTCAGGGAACATGTCCAAAAAAAAGTGGCTAAGAGTGAGGGGGACGAGGACTTTCATCTTCAATCATATCTACCTTAAACCCTAAATTCTCAAAGTTCTGTTAAGTTCCACTCATTTTAAAGGAAAAAAGAAGCCCCAACAACAGCCATATATGGTAGTTCAAAACTATTAAACCTTAGGTACTATTTCTGGTAGCCTTTAATATGATAAGTACTTTTATTTCTATAGAACTGAGATTAAAAAATGACAAATAATGATGATGACATAAGTATGACACGTTATATAATACTAAATAAATTGATATGAGTAGAGTCACAAGGTTATCAACTTAAAGTTGAAATCTTGCACGCCAACTTTAAAAGTTCAATATTAAAGCATAAAGCATGATATAGAAAGCATTTTATAAGATTAACATTCAAGTAATCATGGAATTGGGACTCAAATCATAATGAACTTTGCAAACTAGTACAAGTGTAATAAGAAAATCACTCATCCTAAGACCTTGTTTCAATAAATCACAAGGAATGGAGTTTCATCTAAGGATGGCCTCAATTATCCTTTCATAAGTTTACCAGTCATGGCGAAACTAGGGCTTTGACAAACAAAGCTAGTTAGCTATAATTACATTTCAACTCCTACAGTTAGCAAAAGCTAACAAAACCACATCTCTGATTTGTAACAAAAACAAATACTAAAAGTTATATGCTGCATAATCACCTAGTTGGTGGCTGCACAATCATTTTCCACATACTTGAATGACAACTTGTTATAGTTTTGCTAAAGTTCTGATAGATGAGTCAATTGATTTTATTTCATAAAAAAAAGCACAACATATCAACATTGTCCGCATTAAGTAAGAATTACATTAGGGTGGACAGCACAATACCATGCATATAACCAGTTTGTTCAAAGCTTACAATTAATGGTGCTTCAACACAATACAATAGCATGCAATAATGATATGTGGTGAGAACTATCAACCATAATCCAAGACAAAGGAACACATTTAAAATCAATGGGGCATGGCATGCCAAATAGGCACATGAAAAAAAAAGAGACACCCATAGCTTATTAAAAGACATTTGCAGGCATACATTACCTATTTTGGATTGGTGTGAAATTTTTCATTCATTCATGATGAGCATTGCTGCTATTAAACCTATTCTTCACAAATTATTTTAAATAACTTCCATCCATGTAACCTTAAATATACCTTTTTTTTTCTTTGTAATCCTTTGATACTAAATTTATTGACTCATCTAATGGGAGCATTTTCTACACTTTATTGCACATGTCCAAATGACCTAAAGTATACTTTAAGTTAACTAATCTTCAATGGATACCATTCCAACCTTTCTTTTAATATAATAGTTTCTTAATTTATCATTTTTAATGTTGCCATGCATCTATTTTAACATTCTCATTTATGTTGCAATCAAAATAGCTATCAAAAACTTAATTATAGCCTAACATACATACCCATACAACATCTTCAGCCTAATTACAATTTTATAAGAGTTTATCTATAAGCTACAATAATATCCTTTTATCACACACAACTTTGAATGCACTGGTCAATCTTAATCATTTAGCCTGAACACCAGAAACTATATCATAATGTATATCTCTATTGTTTGACAATAGATCTAAAATACATATACAAGTCACATATCTCCTGATAAATTGTATGATAGTTGTTTCATACTCAACAACATCACATGTCAGATGCTCAACCTTTGTTCTATTAGTTTCAAAGCTTCTATATTTAAATATTTTATTCATTGTTTAGATTTCACTTATTTCAGGGAAATTCACACAAATTAAAAATATACTATATGCAAGAAAAATATATTAAAGCATCTTGCTTTAAATATCATTCATAAGCATTTTCAGGGAAAATACAAAATGACAGACTTAACGCTGTAACTAAAAATTCTTGGGTCACTCAACAATTTCTGCGACTAAACAACCCTACATCATACACGTCTTCAATTACATCAACATTACCTTTGACATACAAATGGAACCTTACATTGGAACCTTAAAGAACACCAAATCAACTAGTGCTTGATCATATTATCTTACTGAGATCAATAAAAAAAACATAAGATGATCATTTATGGTTATGCATATTTCTCAATTGGGTTAACATGCGGCACATCACTTTAGGGTGATGTCATAGCCCACCCATAGGAAGAAGCTACTTAAAAATCAAGTTTTCAAATGTTCATACAATACAAGCATGAACAAGATAGAAGTATATACAATAATAATGTAAAAATAAAAAAAAAACAACATTAAATATATAAAAAAACAAAATTCATGAAATTCCATAAACCAAGAGTAAAAAACTGATCAAATAAAGCTCCGGTTTAGCGTTTAAACTCAGCAGGGAAAAAGATTTTACCTCAAAACGTGAATATATAATCCAAGTGCTCACCCCACATTTCTTTGATCAAGTATACCTCAAATGGACATAATGTTGCAGAGAATAGCATAAAAAATGTCAGGAAGAAAATGATAAACTTAAAAAAACATTGAGAAAGCTCCATAACAAGAAATAAATGCCAGCTATCCTGTCAAATATAAAGTGAAGCCTAAATAATTGACTTTGCAACTAGCTGCTAATCAACCTAAAATCTCAATGGGAAAAAAATATACAAGCAAAAAAATTTTGAAGAAAAAAATTAGCCAAGGAGCATAATACCAGTGCAAATTCCCATTACTATTTTCCCACAATTACATTAGAAAAAATTAGCAATCGCCATATCTGATTTTCTTTCAACGGATCACTACACAACATGAGTTCAATGCAACTATCCATCACCACTTGGTCACAACCTTCAGTAGACACCAAAAGACAATGTTTTATAATGATTTAAATTCAACAGTGGTATGAATTATCAAATCAAACTTGTTATATGTACAAAATTAACAATTAAATACACAATGTAAAGATCAGTACCTAGCATTATGTACCGTATAGTAGATTTCAACGTATAAAGTTCACATCTGCAAATTCCCATCACTATTTTCCCACAATTACATTAGAAAAAATTGGCAATCGCCATATCTGATTTTCTTTCAACAGATCACCACACAACATGAGTTGAATGCAACTATCCATCGCCACTTGGTCACAACCTTCAGTAAACACCAAAATACAATGTTTTATAATGATTTAAATTCAACAGTGGTATGAATTATCAAATCAAACTTGTTATATGTACAAAATTAACAATTAAATACACAATGTAAAGATCAGTACCTAGCATTATGTACCGTATAGTAGATTTCAACGTATAAAGTTCACATCTGCATATCTATTCACATCAATTATTGCCTATCCCATCGACACAATGCAAGAATCTAGAGCATAAAAAGATTATTAAACTCTTGCAACTGCCAAAAGAGTTCCAAATCTTATACTATATTCACATTTCTTTTTTAATGTAGAAAAGATAACATGCAAAATGTCTGGAAAGCATGATAAACCACTAGAGTACGCTGTATGCATGTCAAAAACAAGGGAAGAAATATAACAAGACCTCTCCCTTTTCTAAGATCTTGAATTCATGCTACAAGAGCGAGAAATGAGATGCGGCAAAGACAGCTCTATTCCAGTAACACTTTTCTCCATGCATGCAACCCTATCATATTTCTTCCTGCATCCAGGGCATCTCCCATCACCCTCTTCCAGGATCTTCTTGTGACAGAAAAGGCAAATACGGAAACCACAAGAACAGGGAAGAAAGCTTGAATCTGTAAGGTCAAAATCCTCCACACAAATGGGACATGAAGATGGAGCTGAAATTATGGTCTGACGATGCCACCCCGAAGCAGTAAAATGGCGTTCAATATTCAGCGGGAAACTACGCTGTTTAGAGAGATTGGGCAAGCACTGTGGGCGTGCAGCATCATCCGGTTTCCAGGCTCTAGGGATTGCCCGGTTTGTGTCTGGCTTCGTGGTCCCAACAATCAGTCTAGCATCGCTATGGTGAGATCGATTCATCTTGGAATCTAAAACAGTCTTAAATGAATCGGAATTAGTGCGAGAGAGATTACCAACAGCGGAAAGTGCATCAGCAACGGCCTCCCAGTCATCAAGTCCACCTTTATCATCCACCTTCTCTTCTTCCTGTCTGTCCTCTTCAGCGTCACTGACACTTCTAGAACATGACCCTACACTGCTCCCACTACTGCCACTGGTACTCAAGTATTCTTTTCTCTGCATATTTCCACCCGGGGAGGGACTCTGAACAGGTGATTCCAAACCGCTGTCCTGAAGCCCCAAACCATCCCGCTCCATCTCAACGAGAGGCACCATCCTAGGCCTACTACCCAGCACACCTTGACCGGAACTGGGAAGACTTATCCTCGGGTGAGAAGGCGAAGTAGTGATGGTCCCCGTGCAGCCGTTTATACAACCCTTATTCTTCACTGCCATCGACATAATTCAAAAATTGGAAACCCATCAAAACAACAGATCAACCACAAAGAAACAAAATCGAAACCCTAAAAACCAAGATAAAAAACGAAAGCCAAACGTCATTTGAGAAAGAACAAAAAATGACGCAGATCAAAATTTACCTTGCGAGAGCCATTGTTCTCGCCGAGCATCAAGCTTGCACTGCTTCAACTTAGCAGACCTGTTCACCTAAAATCAAAAGCCAAAATTAACATATCGTCAATTCACACCTAAACCTAGCCAGACAATCCGATCGACAAAAGAAAACACAGGATCTCCAGAAGCCGAATCACCGCAAATCCAACAAGCAACAAAATGCTAATAAATTCAAACTCACCTTCTTCTTTTTTCCGAAATCCCTCGAGATGGCCGCCGGTACGGAAGCTTCGTTCGCCATCGCGTCGTATCCCATAGATCTTCCTTCAATCCAAAAACCTTTCGAAATCTTACCACCTCCAAGTAAATCCTACGTGAGAAGCGGCGAGGAATTGTTGGAGAAGGCGACTGTTAGCGAAACGGATAACAAAAAGGGTAACGCTGCGTTGCGCTTCGGATTTCCTCTCTTGTCTGCAATTGGCACCAAGAAAAATAAACCGGGGGACGGGGAGAGAGTGACAAAAATCGTCAATACCCCAAAAATATGTGGGTATTTACAAGGAAGGTGCTGGACGAAGGAGGCAAACAAGCCAGATTTTTTCCCAATACTGTAGAGAAATTATTAAAATAATAATTAATAATTTGAAAAAAAGGTGGTAAAATTATTTATTATTATGCGGTATGCTGGACCGCGGTGCACCTGACTTATTTGAGGTACGCAGCACTGCATATATATTTGAGGTTATATTCATATTATATCTGCGTTATATTATTTGTAACATTCATGTAATCTCCATATAATATATCTGTAACATACATGAACTTATAAATTAGTTTTACGCTTCTATTTTTACATATCTGTAAGCTATATGTAGGTTACATGGAAGTTACATAGATGTTACATGAGATATAACACAAATATAATGTCGATATAACACAATATGAATTTTATTATGTACGTAGCGCTACGTGCGTCTTACTTACGCAAATTTTTCCCCTGATTGAGGCTGGGACATTTTTGATAGCCATGCTGGTTGCACCATTGCATTGTCTATTTGTTTTTTTTTGTGTTTTTCGGTTGTTGGGTTGTGTCTTATTTGTTTTTTAAGAAGTTCAAAAATATCTGTTGGTTTGCTTGTACACTTTTTAAAATACTTTATTATATTTTTCAAGAGAAATTCATGATTATATCACATAAATTTTATATATTTACATATTAATATCTAAATTTTGATGTGTGAACATATATATTTTACTTTTATAAATGTTAAGGATTTGAGTTATATATATATATATATATATATATATATAATTACACTTTAGCCCTTGGTCTCCAAATCTTAATAAAAAAAGTAAACTTTTAAATGCTAATAATTAAAGTTAATTAAATCATAAAATGAAATGATCAAAGTCAAATCTTAACAATGAGCATAGGGGCAACATTGTAATTATTCAAAAAAAAATCACATGTCATATAATGTTATTAATCTTAATTAACCTAAATCAAAGAAGTAATAATAATTTTATTATCTAAAACACTTTGAAGGAAATTTTGCAAAATCTATAAGCCACTTTAACAAAACCCTAATTAAAATTAACTGAAAGCAAATAATATAAAAATGCCTTTAAGAGTATATTAAGCATGTTGAAATCCTAAAATCTCAAAACCCTAATTGTATTTCATTAATGAGACTTAAAAAACGACTAAAGTATAACAAAATCCAAAATTAAAAGTTACAAATGTATCTTTCTTAACTTATTAACCATTGAACTTGACACTTAAAGAAAACCAAAATTCGTAAAACTTGAATTAAAATGGACATCTATTAAAAAAATAATAAAAGCACAAGAAAATGGATTAAATCAAAAGTGATCACAAATATAATTTCAATAAAAATAGTAATAATGTGCTAAATAAATTTAAGGTTTAGTTAATTCAACTTAAAAATTCATTAATAAGAAGCCAAAAGACAAATCAAACATTAAAAATTCATATATCAAATCCAACAAAACAAAGTTAATAACATTGAAATTTTTAATTAATCACATTAAAGTATTCAAAAACAAACATTGAAATATATTGAACAACACCGACCTTGACATGGAGTGGCATAGGTCAAAATGACAAATTTATGAATATACTTCGTATAAACTAAATAAAAGAACTTAATAACTTTATTAAGATAACCCCAAATAATTGAAACCAGCAATAATGGACCAACTAAATCAAAACAAATCAAGATATATATAAATTAAATTAAACCAACAATCAAACCAAATCTTCTCCAAGTAAACAAAAAAACTAAGATGAACCTAAATATAACATTAAATTATTATTGAACAATTTCTTAAAACATAATAAGTGTACTTTAGTAAAAGCCAACTAAAAGATATAAGTCATTAAAAACTTAAAGTAAGCCACAAGAATTCATTAAAACTTAAATTTAAACTTAATTAAAACAAGCTCGGTGACCCGACCGACAATTACACAGATATTTATATACCTTAATATGCCAAAAACTAGACCCAAATTATATTTAGTGTCAAGTGAGAACAAATGTAATATGATAAAATTTAAAGAAATAGTATTCTCACTAGGGGTATTACACAAGTATACATATCATTTCAAGTAATATATGATTTTCTATAAAAACCCCAATATCGATCCCACAGGGAAACATAAACGAAAAGAATTGAAATTCAAGAATTTTAACTTTAAGAGAACTTTACTTAAGACTGCAGCAAATATCTAAAGAAGTAATGATGAAAATTAAGTTTACTAATTTTTACAAAATGCAAGTAAAACTAAATGTAATGATTTTAGAAAATATATAAAAAGAGACTTTCTTCTTGCAAATAATTTATAATCAATATAGGATTTCAAATGTTTAGAAGCTTGAATGTGGTATTATGACAAATAGGAGCATACATATTCTTTACTTCTTTTGATGTGTAAAAAATATTGATTTTCTTTATATTCTTTACTTCTTTTGATGTGTAAAAAATATTGATTAATCTAAAGCTGGTGTCGGCATGTATAGTAGTGTTGGGTAGGTTCTAATCTCTCACTCATAGATTAACCACTATGCCCTCTCTATAGGACCTATTAGCATCCCTTAGTTCTAATCTCTAGACCAAATTGATAAAAGAATCTAGCATGCCACTCTAGAAACATCAATTCTACGCCCATCAAATCTTATCTCTCTATCTATATGCACTCCCCCTCAGAAGATTGTCATTGTTCTTTCAAAAGTGAAATGTGATGCTTACAAGTCAAGAAATCTTGCCCTCTCGGGCCTATAAGTTCCCTCAACAAAGTTTAACAATACAAGTGGTCAATTTGCAAAGTAAATGAAGGACCGATAAAAATATCATCACACTTTTTAGGAATAAAAGAAGTTCTAAACAAAATCAAAATCACTTACTTAATTACTTCAGATTGCAAGGAGAAAGAGAGAAAACTACTCAAAATGCATGGGGATAACAAAACAAAATATATTTATAAAACTCAAATCCAAAGTACAAGACTTAAAAATAAAGATACAAATATTTATCTGAAATGTTTCCCCAAGCACTCCTTTGAAGTTCTCTTACTTCTTTGACTCCAACGACACTTACAGGACTCATAAACTTCAGAAATAACAAAGATTTACAACGAAAACTTCCCACACTCTTAACACACTCATCCGCCATGTGACTCTATATATCTGACCCCCTAGCCTCTTGAAATTAATCCCTATTTACAGAGCTTCAAAAATGACCAAGAGTTGCTTCAAACATCTCTTCAAAATTTGGTCTCATTCAATGAATCTTCTAGAAAATAATTGTGGTGCCTAAGCATCAAATTGTCGTGCCTAGGCACCAACCATGTTCTGCATTTGACGCGTAGGTGCTAGATCCTGACACCTAAGCGCCAGTTCAATTAGTTTGGTAATTTACTTTAGTTTAGCCCATGTTGCTCCTTTTTGATGTATTTTCTCTTCTTTTTACTCTTAAATTTTTTTTCTTGCACCTCTGATACACCAAAATAATGTGTTGTTTTATGTATTTATTTAATGCTTATTTTTGGTGATATTGTACTTTAAAGAATGTTATTTTCATGTTTTTGTTACAGGTATATCTATTTTAGGCATTTGGAGCAAAATTAGCAAAAAAGACAAAATTTGGAGCCAAAATGACGAATTTTGAGAATCTGGCGCCATAAGCGCTAGAACTACCAGGACTGACGCCTGAGCGCCATAACTGGCGCCTGAAGCACCATTTTACAGATAGCTGGAGCCTGAAGCGCCAGAATTAGAGCCTGAATTGTCAAAACCCGGAACAACACGATCTTAAGCAAGTTGGCGCCAGAGGCGCCAGAGGCGACTTTTTGAGAATTAAGGCAGCTCGAGATGAATTTTGTGCGAATTTCAAAGGGGCCACTTGTTCTAAAGACCCCATGGAGTGATTCAATGCATATAACACTTTGGAAGGTTCTTTTATGAAGGGGTAGTGGTAGCTCTGGAGTTGCAGACGGTATCCTCCCAACCTGACCACATAAATATGGACCAAACTCTAGATTAGTCAATGTTCTTTATACACTTAGAAGAGGGTAAAGAATATGATTGCTCATATTTGACACAAAATAATTTTTATATATTTTCAAATGATTTTGATTTCTTCACAATCCATATACTCAATGTAAAGGGGAAGGATGCTTTCTTAAATTTGAACTCTTCATCACAAAAACTTTGTTTAGTTTTCGTAAGTTTACTTTTGAAAGTTTAGCAATTCTTTTAATTAACTTAGTTCTTTTAACTGTATTTTGTTTAGCATTCACTCAATTACTTTAGATTCGAATTTAATACTTCAGTTTTGTAGTTTAAATTTATGATTTACATTATAATCATGCAAATTTATCTATAAGCATTTCCAACTTCCCTGTTTGATCAATATCTAGGACTCCATTAAAGCTGTTTATTACTTGAGAGATACGTATACTTGCGTTATTATTAGGGGATTTGACAGTATAAAGATTTTTAAAAGATAAAATTATTTTTATTAAAGTTATTTTTTTGAGTTTATATTGCATATTTATTATGATAATTGCTGTGCGTATTTTGTAATATTAAAAAATATTTGTAAAAATAATACACACAAATCCACCATATCAAGTTTTTGGCGTCGTTACCGGGGAAGTAACGAAAAGTATTAGTAAATTATTTTATAATTTAAATCATTTTATTTTAAAAAAACTATTTGTAGTTTAATTTCAAATATTTTCATATTTTAGTGTGTTTTCTTATTTTAATTGCTTATTGTGTTTGTTTATGCGTAGTTTAAGATCTGAGGATTTAGTACCTTACGACTGAGAGTTAGAAAGAACTATTAGAAAAAATTGAAAACAACAAAAGAAATAGATAATTTTAGCAAAATGCTTGAAACTCAAGTAATGCTGGAAATGAAAATGAACATCGTCAGAGACCTTTATCTTAATTCATTTGAGTATACAAAACCCTGCTGTAGCTGTCAATTCATTTGAGCTTAAACCTGTTA